TGGAGCTGTAAGCTCTATCCAGTTGATATGCGGTGCATTGAAGTCCCCAATGATGAGACAACATTCTGCCATACTCCAAGAACAGATGTGTCTTAGGATAAAGTCGTCAGCAAGACAAGACGGACTACGGTATATTACCCCTATAGTCACTAACCCATTTCTAGATTTAATCTTACAACATGCAACCCCACATGTGCCACTGATATGAGCCTCTGATATGGTTGATTGTATACGAAAGTGATCCCTAACATATAATATTACACCTCCCCCTTTGCGACTAGAAACTCTATCACTTCTGATACAGATATAACCAGCAATGAAAGGAGGACAGTCTATATCAACGGTGAACCAAGTTTCTGTAACAACGATTATATCGGGACATAATTCTTGCACCATCAGACTTAGCTCGGACGTTTTATTTCTAAGACTACGAGCGTTCGTGTAGCACACACTTAAGGTGTTTTGGCAATCAATCGTTCTACCCATACAGGCCTCGGAAGCATTGGCTTCCAAGACCTGACTACCCGAAAACCCTTAATGGTAAGGTTATTTTCGCCATTTAATTTGCGAGTCTTCAACTCCGTAAGAGCATTCTTCCACTTGATTCGATCCTCAAGTGGCCAATCTGGTCGAATACGGATATTTGAGTCACGAGTTTTTAGTGCGCTTTTCAATAATATGTCTCTTTCATCAAAACTCCCGAGAACCAGCTTCAGGATTCTTCTTGGTTGGGTCTCGCCTCCAACCCATTTACCAAGTCGTATTACTTTTGTAATATGTACTCCTGAAACCTCTTCAGGTAGTACATTCCTTACCACAGACTCCACTAACTGCAGGTCATGTGCATGTCTTCTAGCAGGGTCGTTGTCTTTCGACTCCTCTAGATTCCAAATAATTAAACTAGGGAGGGGTTTGGCTTCTTTTGAAACTGTGTTCACAGCTTTTGACCGTGACGTTAGATCCTGTATTTTAACTACTGGTATCTTACGATTAGTTTTTATTTTAACAGAGTCCTGGGAGTCAAGCGAATGACTCACAACAATGTCAGACGAAACTTTACTATGGGACTTTGGCGGATTGGCCTGAGAGTCCACCAAGGACTTACCAAGTAAACAGTCATTAGTTTTAGCTATCTTTCCTACTCTTCTGCGTTTTCGCGTCATCCATTTTCCATCAGTCGAAACGTCTACATTAGAACAAATCGGGACAGTAATTGTTTTATCTGGGTCACCGGTTGCTGCTGTAGCAATATGGCCACCAACGTCTAATGACGTGTCACTCACTGAACGTTTCGGGGGCGAACGTTTAACTGCGGGTTGCACAGGTAGATGTCTGGCTTGCGCCGTGATAGCACTTACGACACTAACGCAATCTTCGCCATCAGTACCAATGTTATCAGTACAGCCTTCATCAACCTTCTTATTAGCCAACACCAGGAGACTAATTGCTCCCTGGATAAGCAATGTTTTGCTTGAGCAACAAAAACTACAAAGCCAGTGAGAGTTGGGCTTTGAATACCTTTTATATGCAGTGGGGCTTAGTCGGGTGCACATCTTATGGAACCACTTATTACACTCATCACATTGCATCCCTTCCTCCACGGGAAATAAGCAGTATGGTTGTCCACATTTATGAGTAGACTTAGCCATCGTGAAAATCAACTCAAACGGTGATAAAAAACAGGAAATGAAAAGGGATTTTCAAAACTTAACTAAAAAACCAAGTAAAAGTCGACCAAGTATGCTTCGATGCAATAAATACACAGAAGCAAAATCGAAAAACTCAATACAATATCACTTTAACTGGGGTAGATGCAATTAAAGTGTAAACAGTAGTTTTGATGCGTAGTTTACGATCAAAACAGTTAATTAACTCAACGAGAAAGAATACCACTGTCCTTGACTTGACCAATGAACCATAAAACCTGTACGAGCAGTCTAGATTCTTTATCGGTCCTTCTTCTTGTCTAACCCTTCCTGTTCAGTCAAGAACACTATTCTCAGCCTCTGCGATAGGAATCATGTATTTCAAATTTATATGATTTGCATACAAACCAAACCGATCACATCACATCATAAAATAGAAACTAACATTTGTACAAGATATGAGCCAAAAGTAGTTGTGAATGTGGGAGATAGTAATTGATAGACTGGGCATAACTCATGAAAAGTAAATCGTATAATAATAGTTCATAAGTCAAAATGAAGCCTATGACGCGAAGAACATGAATATAAATAGGTGTCATTATCAAGGTTTGATTTGATATAAATAGGTTAATTGTTTATCAATTATGAACTAGTAATATACGTATAGTATTTGATAAAATAAAAAAACCATATAGTAAATTGTTAACTTGCAAAATATTATTCCATCATATCAAACCGAACTCTTTCTGTTACAAACATCAATCCATTGTCTGACATTTCATTGTTCATGCAATTTCTTACAAATTCAATTGTGTTCTCGCTCTTCCTTTCTTGATTTTCCGCATCATCTGCTGCCAGACATTACGTTCTTTAACTCGCGTTTTATACTACTTATATCAATATAAGTAGCACGCACCACAATATGACAATCAATGTGATGAGTACACATTATCCTACAAGTTCTATACAAAGACAAAATGGCTATCTAATGCTTCTAGATTTTTCATAGTGGTCTAACTGTGGTGTGTGCTACTTATATTGATGTTAGTCGTGAATAGAAAGTCTGGCAGTAGAGTGACAAGAGGATCGAATAGTAAAGAATCAGAATAGAATGCAATTTATGTGAAAATGCAAGAACGATGAAGTTTGAGTTATTTCAAGACAATTGGTGGACATTTTGAAAATTAAGCATTTACTTTATGATTGTTAGATTTTAATAACAAGTCCTGTTATTTTGTGTCAAATACATTCGATTGTATCCATTGATGTGTTTGTTCACTACATAACTTTAATCCACTCATTGAATTCGACTATTAAAAGTTACTAAAATCTCGAACAGCAACAAACCCCCTCGCTTTCCAAGAGATTTTTACTATTTATCATTATTAAATCACTAGACATTAGGTTACAAGGTTTTTTTTTGTTTTCTTTGAAAAATAATTCATGTGTAATTGTTAAGTTGCTCTTACATTGTTCATACTTGCTCCCTTTCCATTCTTTTGTATATTGTCTTATACTACTTATTTACATTCAGTAAGCAGTTGTATTCCCAACAGTTTTCACTTATGTTGTAAGGTAAGTTGTACTGTAATATTCTGAAATGTTCACATATATTTATTACGTTATTGTACTTATCATTGTATTTATCATTATAATCACTGTACTTTAATTACTGTAACGGTTATCCACAGTTTTGTGCATTCGTTTAAACGCAACAGTTTCCATATTGTTTTGCTCTTGGTTCGAATTTCGGTTGTTCATCAACTGTTATCGAATATAGACATAGCTATCAGCTGTCTTTTGTACAATTGTATGTTATAATTATTCTTTATGTTACTCTTACAGAAAGCCTTTTTCATACTTAAAAAACGCGTTTAAATGCCTCAGACACCTGACAATTTGAAGTTTATAAATAAATTTTGTGTATTATTCAATTAAGAATCCGCTATTGTAAACAAATCGTTGTTTCGGAAACTTCGATTTCGCGCGTATCTCAGTCAGGTGAACTAAATCCTTCGATAGATCTAACAATAGTAAATTTTAAATGAAATTTCAGAGAAAAAAAACAATCCAAACATAATACTTTTTAATGAAAAAGTTAAATATTATTGATTTAGATAAACCCTTTTTTAAGTAGTATATTAGATATGTCACATTAAAAAAAAAGAATGATTTGTATATCTCATCGAATTATGCATCTTTATATTGAATTTTTTTTCTTTTTATCGTATTGTTTGTTATTGTTGTTGTTCTTTTTGTTTTGTTGTTGTTGTTATTATTGATGGTGGTGTTGGTGGTGTTGCTACAACTGTATCATCTCAATGATAAATATAAAACAAAAAAATGATTGAGCATAAACAGATTAGTTTCTAGAAAATAAAAAAACAACAACAACAACAACAAAAGAACGAAAAACAAATCGGTTTTTCTCTCATTTTTTTTACTCTTTTCAAAATATGAAGAAGAAGAAGAAGAAGAAGAAGAAGAAGAAAACATTTATCTCATCTGATTTACTTTTTAAAAAAAAGATTCTTTAATAGTTGAATGATGATGATGATATTGAATTGATCATAGTTTATAGGATTATTTGAATTAGTTACCTGATTGAACATATCTGGATTACCGGTTTCTTCCATTTAGATATTTCAATAAATTACCTATTTCTTGTTTATTTATTTATTTTAATACATCATTATTATCAATTTATTATATAACCCTATTGAAATGTATATGTAAACCAACATTTATAACATTTCACTGTACAAATTCAATTAGAGACATTATGATTACTGACATATATGCATAATTTATTCATGAGATGAATTTATAAAATAATTCACAATCTTTTATTGTACAAGTTAGGAAAGAGTTAAACCAACAAACAAACAAAACAAAAAACAAAACATTGTAATTATTGACAAATAAACATTGAATAGAATATACAATAATGAGATATCAACTCCTGAATTGACAACAACTAATTAATGATCCATTCAATAGTCATCGTCAAGATCAATTAAGACGTAAGAAATAAAGAAAACTTGTTGAAATACATTGTACTGAGGATTATTTTAGATTGTATCAAATATATATATATATATATATATATATATATATATATATATATATATATATATATATATATATATATATATATATATATATATATATATATATATATATATGTATAATATTGAATAAAGCTAACGACAATAATAATAATAATGTATATTCTCATTTGTACAAACATTAGGTATTATTACATTATTGATTGTAATCTATGTATGTTGAGGGGTGTGGGTAAGGGAGGGGGGATTGAAATTTGTTTTAATAAATAAAGGCAAATAATCTATTTTATAATTTTACATTTTTCATTGATTGTTTTATTAATGAATTTGGTTTTAATAAATGAGTATTTTGATATTGATTAAAAAAATTTGTTATTTTTAATGAATCTAATATAATTGGTTTTGATGGTGGTGGTGGTGGTGTTGTTGTTGCTATGGTTGTTGTTGTTGTTGTTGTTTGAAGTAATTGACTAGTTGTAACTATCTAGAAAATCATGAAAAATAGAATGAATGAATGAATAAAATAGTTAAATAAATAATTTTGAATAGTTGAATTTATTAGTCAATTAAAACTAGATCATTAAATTGTATCATGAGCCAAGTACTTACTTACTTACCTACGCCTGTTACTCCTCATGAAAGTGCATAGGCTGCTTACCAGCATTAGCCATCCAACCCTGTCCTGGATAATCCTTTCTAGTTATTTCCAGTTGCTATTCATCCTTTTCATATCTGCTTCAATTATCCGACGCAATGTGTTCTTTGGCCTTCCTCCTCTCCTCTTCCCTTCACGATTCCAAGTCAGGGCTTGCTTTGTGGTGATTTGCGTAATGTATGTCTTATCCATATCCATCGTCTATTTTTAATTTCTTCTTCAGATGGAAACTGGTTTGTTCTTTCCAACAGTAGGCTGTTGCTGATGATATCCAGCCAATGAATGTTGAGTACCTTGAGTAGGCAACTGTTCATAAATAATTGTACCTTCTTGATTGTGGTTGTTGTAGTTCTCCAAGTTTCAGCTCCGTTCAACCTGGCCTGTTGTGAGATAATAACTCACTAACAACAGTGGTGGATGTGTCGCTCAATTTTGTGGCATAAAGTTAGACATTAACACCGTTAGATACTAGCCGACTCAGTAGTGTAGAGGTTAGGAGTTCGTGTGCAAGACTGATAGGTCCTAGGTTCGAATCTCAAGAGGCGGGATTTCTGATGCGCACTGCTGAGGAGTCCCTCAACTGGACGAAACGGCCGCCCATTGCTTTTAGGCTTTCCATATTGGTCTAGCTTCAATTGACTCATGATCTCAACCAGTAAAAATTACCATAATATCCACAAAACGCTTTCTGTTCTATCTGTTATTTGTGAAAACAAAAAAATCGGCGAGACTATAATTTATGGACGAACCAATCATGTATAAGATAACAGGTCTCGGATTTCAGCGCGAAATTCATTCATTCATTTGTCAAAAGAAAGTTTTTGCATTATAACTGATATCAGTCGGTGATGAAAACCCTAAACATAATTCCTAACGCTAACCGTCAAACTGTAAATCACAATTCGAAGTCCTCTTACAGTTTTATAACTCTCATTTGGTTCTAGTTATTAGGTGGACATTGTCAAGGCCGTTCTAGTGTCGCTCAAATGTCGTCCATAAATCATAATCTCACCGCTTGTTGTTATGGGTTTACTGAATTTTTAAATAGTATCTAACACTGAAATCATAAATGTAAGTTTTATTTGACATTTTAACTATTCACTTTTCACATTGAACCTGGTACATATATGTGTGTTCATTCAAATAACTATATCAAGTTAGCATAACGAAATTCCGAAGAAGCATAAGGGATAGAAGACAAGACATCAAGATTAGATATGATTAACAGGGCAAAAATATTGAAGATAATGGTGTAATAGATATTGGGCTTAAATCTTAATATTAAAATATTAATGCTAATCTATAGGGTACATTCAATGGACAAATTTTAAAAATTGTATTCTAGTTCTCATCAACAAATGATAGTAATATTTTAATTTTTATAGATAACACTTTCCTCATCTAAATTTCCACGAGTTAAACTTTTACCGGGCGATTCACTTGTCGACTTAGAATATGCCAATGACATAGTTCTATTTAAAGAAGACGCTGAAAATATGCAGAATCTTCTGACCACTCTAAGGAGCAATGCAATCATGTTCGTTATTCGATTTTCCCTCTCAAAATGCAAAATCTTACTTCGGGATTGGGTTGCATAGACACCTGAACTAATGACAGGGAGTGAAGTAGTTGAGCGTATCGACCAGTTCACTTATCTTGGAAGTCTCATCAGCCCCTGTGGCCTGGTGGTGTGACGAAATCTCAGCACAGATAGAGAAAGCTCGACTAGATTTCGCCAACTCGCGTCATTTATAGCGTAGGCGAAATATCCGTCTACCAACCAAAGGACGTGTTTACTGTACAGCTGTCCGTTTCGTCCTACTTTATGGCAGTGAAACATGGCCGATAAGGGTAGGGGATATTCGTAGTTTACTAGTGTTCGATCATAAGTGTCTTTGAAGCATTGTTCGCATATCCTGGGACCACTGAGTAAGTAATTCAGTTGTTAGGAAACGGGTGCCAGATAAGGATGGCAAATCAATTGATGAAGTAATGAAACTTCATCAGTTGAGATGGCTGGGATAAGTGTTACGTATGCCTAACCACCGACTGCCCCCACAAGTGATTTTTCATGGTTTAGGAGTAGGTTGGAAGAAAGCTAGGGGTGGCCAGATCAAAACATGGCACAAGTCCATAAAGTCACTGACATGTAGACTGAGCCATATTGGCAGGTGTAGACTACCTGGTTGGGATCTGGAAGACGATAGCAAATGATGGTTAGAGACCCTGAATGACATGGCTCAAAATTGTTTGGAATGGCGCAGGTGCATCCACTCTTTGAGTTCTCCCGAATTCTAATCTCCTGAATTCTTCACATCCCATTCTATTTTTCTATTTTCAAATTTATTTCACTGGATTATACTCTTTGAATAACCTCTTCAAACCCTAATCATTCCGATTACTGCTTATACTCTTACCACCTCTACCATTACGGAATTCGAATCGACAATTATATCTCTCTGTATTAATAAAGTATGGTAACTCGAACTGATGTACATACATACGAAGTTCTACATTGTTGTCTTTGACTGACTAATTGATCAATTGAATATTTTATTACTTTATATTGTTAATCATAAAATTTATTATTCATATTCATACTTGATGATTTATTGAAGAAGAATTATTATTTAATCCATTACAAATGATCATTGATTTATTTTTATTATTCCAATGTGTATCTAAGTTATTTTTTATTGAATTAAATCTTGTCAAATGTGTTTGATCTTTACATTGTTCATGATGATCATGATCATGATCATGATTATGAATAGCACTTAATGAAATGAAACGATTATGAAGTTGTTTAGTAGGTAAAAGTTGATCTGATTGATCACTAATATAAAGTGTATTATTATTATTATTATTATTAGTGATTACTGTATGCACTTGATAATGTTGTCCATTTGCTTTTAATGAATCAGAATTATTCAATGGAATTAATTCAGTTTGATATCGTTTTATGGATAAATTTTCTTGATTATTCAATAGTGAAGAATTCATTAAAGTATGTTGTTTTAATGGTGTTTGATATAAATTAGGCTAAAAAATTAAATAAGAAATAATAATGATTACAATTGTTTACATGATTACATAATATATTTATAGAATAGATCCGATGTTCATCTTGTTGTTTGTTCTAACGTGATATGACAACTTGAACTGATGCATATATATGTACCTGGTCCTACGTTGTAGCTGACTGACTGACTGATAGAATAGATGAATCACGATGACTACTAGTTTAAAGCTTTAAACTTCGAAGTAATGCACATGGAAGTTGTTACCAAGATTTAGTTGAGGATATTCACATTTCATTATTATAAGTCATAATTTATTGATTGAAGTTTTTAGCTTTTATCAATTGTAAAATTATAAAGTCGATATTGTTGAAGGTTATAGAAGCTCACGTGCAGTTGTTTGCACATAATTTGGTTAAGCCTTTTTGTTAACTCCTCCTATAGCTCTTTCAGGGTTACTGTCGCTTCCAAGCCCAGGCAAAGCAGGATAGCTGAGCATGGGATTAACGACTCCATCTCGTAGAAAACTAAATCGATAAAAAACGCTAACCAGAAAAATTAATTCAAACCTTCTATTAACTGATTTAACGTACAGAGTCATTCGTACAATAACAACCTATCTATACCATTGTACCTTTATTATTGCTGCGCTTGTATGAATATGTATACTTGAGCATTGCTTACTGACTATGCCTCTATTCATTCATATATATATATATATATATATATATATATATATATATATATATATATATATATATATATATATATATATATATATATACTCGCACGCTCATTCGCTTCCCAGCTTGCTTCTCCGAACTACTCTTTCATGCTACCTGAAATTTCGGTTATCTGTACGTGGTGCAATAATAAGCGCAATCAACACTTCGTATTCGCCTTCTGATTACTGCACCGTTGGGGCTTTATCTAGTGACGGTTATCAGGATGAACTGTTTACGAAGTTTAAGGATTATTTTGAACACCGACCACCACAATGTTATTTGTCAAACTTTTTTTCCGGTTAACTTATTTTTAGCGAGTTAGTTTTCTACGAGATTAGGTCATTAATTCCATGTCCAACTCTTTTCCTTTATACGGGCTTGAGACCTGGTTGTAACACTAGAGAGGCTCCAGGCGACCTATGCTCCATTGAGGGTAACTGGCAAAAGTAAGTAAGTAAGTGTGTCACTTGTCAAATTTCTAGTATAGTTGGATTACACATGTCGTCGTGTGATAATGATATCGTCAAAATGAAGTTAATGCAAACTTCCTTGTTGATAAAGTATTCATGGAATAAAAATATTTGACAATAATCTCTCTCTATATATAGAGAATTTATTATAATAGTTTAGAAAATCTGTTAATTTGTAAGGATTAGCATATGAGATTATGAAGTATTTAACACAGTCAGTGACTACAAAGACTCTCATTCGATTATTCTATTCACCGATACACTGAACTTGCATAAATATGGAGAGTACTTTATTCTATATCTTACCTCTTAAAGAAATGACTTAAAACACGTTGCATATAAAGTGATATTTGCTTAATATTATATTTATTCATTCAAATCAGTATACAGTAGATTTGAAGTATATGAAACGAAAATCTTTCTAAGGAACTAATTGCATTATATCGGATAGTGTCTGTAGGTAACATTGAATGATATATACACTCAATGTATAGATACACTTGCATCTACCTATCAACTGTCTGAAAAAATTGTAATGCAGCAATTTACCTAGTCTTTTAATAAACAAAACCTAGTGGCTATCAAGAGACAGTAGCTAAATGGATAATGTGATGGTGTTTGAAGTGAACGGTGATGAATTCGAGTTACAGAGTGAATATTAACTCCGAGATGCAGGTACATCAAACTGACGAGTCCCAAATAGAACAAAATGCGCTTCCTGAATTCCACTGCTATCCAATATCTATCTTTGCTTAGAATGCTTATGACTTAAAGCAATATCGAGTCAATCCGCACAGGATGCATATATGCCAATAAGAGACTGATCAATTAATCAGTCCTGAACATCAATAGGAAGATTCGAACAAACAATACAAAAAAGATTTTTAGATATATTTGTTTCCCAAGATTATAAAAAAGTACCGAAAAACCATGACATGTGGACATTAGTAAAAACCTCCGATATTATCAAAATTTCTTGGGGATTCATTCCGACTCTCATCACTTACTTACTTACGACTGTTACTCCTTGTGAACGAGCATAGGCCACTCACCAGCATTAGCAATCCAACCCTGTCCTGGGCAATCCTTTCTAGATCCTTCCAGTTGTTATTCATCCTTTTCATATCTGCCTCTACTTCTCGACGTTATGTGTTCTTTGGCCTTCCTCCTCTCCGCTTCCCCTCAGGATTCCAAGTCAGGGCTTGCCTCGTGATGCAGTTTGACGATTTGCGTAATGTATGTCCTATCCATTTCCATCGTCTTTTCCTAATTTCTTTTTCAGATGGAAACTGGTTTGTTCCTTCCGACAGTGGGCTGTTGCTGATGGTATCCGGTCAATAGATGTTGATTATCTTGCGTACACAACTATCTATAAATAATTGTACCTTCTTGATGGTAGCTGTTGTAGTTTTTCAAGTTTCAGCTCCGTACAGTGGAACTGCCTTGACGTTGGTATCGAAGATATTCACTTTGATATTGGTTGACAGAAAGTTGTTTTGAGTTGCATATGTTCTATAACTGTAGGAATGCTGTCCTTGCTTTGCCAATACTTGCCTTTACGTCTACATCTGAACCTCCTTGTTCATCGATGATGCTTCCTAGGTATGTGAAGGACTCTACATTTTCCAGAGTTTCGCCATCAAGAGTGATTGGACTGCTGTTCTCGATTTTTAATTTGAGGACTTTGGTTTTCCCCTTGTGTATGTTGAGGCCTACTGTCGGCTTTCATAGTTGTTCTACATAATCCCATGCTCTAAGAAATATCTCATACATTCTCTTTGAATAACAAATGAAATTACATAGCTATCTTAATTCAAGTAGTACATGACAACTAAAGGTTTTGTATTTTTTTAAATTGTTGAACTACTCTTTCAAACTTATGAATAATTGGTTTTCTAATTCCACATCTCCTCCACCATCATCAAGTATACAATTTAATTGAATTGGGCACAGACTGAGATTAATTAGGCAACCATTGAAAACTATAAGGAACTGAATAGATATTTCGTCCTGGTGCTCATCAACCGCCCCCAAAAAATAAGTGTTTCAGATAGCATTTAATAGTTTATACTGCTAACTTCAATCTATTCGCAGGAATCTTTGTATAATCATTACCGGTACTATTGTGTGTTATTTAAATTGAAGTAAGTAAACTATAGCCGAATATGTTTTAATCATAAATCCGTTATATCAATTTTACTAAATTTTTTTCTACTTTTTTTATATTCCAACTTACATCTAAATCATTTTCATCTTTTGTTGTCTTTTGATAATGATAAACATTATTTAATGGATTAACTGATTGATTAATACAATTATACTTAGATCTATTATAATCTGATGAACGTTTTCGATAATTGTGTTGTTGTTGTTGTGGTTGTTGTTGTTGTTGTGGTGGTGGTGGTGGTCGTTGTTGTTGCTGTGATTGATGGTTATGAAATTTAGCTTTAAGATTATTTAATGATGTAGATATTTTTGATTGAAACATTGAATTTTGAATATCGGTTGAACCTTGAATAATTTTTAATTTTTGATTAATATTCATTAAAGAGGATGATTGATTATTATTATTTCTCTGTTTAATAATGAAAAAAAAAGGTGATTGAACTGTTTTAATGTTTGACAGATAATAAAATCTTAATAATTAAGATCATGAGTCGATTGAAGTTAGATTATCATGGAAAACCTGGAAGCAATGAGACGATCATTTCATCCTATCTTGGGTCTCCTAAGCAGTGCGTATCCACGATCCGGCATGCAACGGTGTTAATGTCTGACTTCAACTAATCCATGAAATTGAGCGACATATCCACCATGATCTTCATCAGTGGATTACTATCTCACAAATGACCCAGTTGAACTCCCCTGATCATTGTTTCTCACTAGAACTCCAGAAAATGCCTCTTGAAGATAGTCACTAGCGAGTATATGTCGATTAATATCAAATACAGAATTGTTATATCCGAATGAAGAATTAGGTGAATAGTAACCACTAGGATCTATTTGTGAATTATTATTGTACCTGTCGTTCAATTTCATGGATTAGTTGAAGTTAGACATTAACACCGTTGGATACTAATCAGCTCAATGGTCTAGAGGTTAGGCGTTTGCGCATGAAAGAGACTAGTCCCGGGTTCAAATCTTCGCGAGGTGGGATCGTGGATGCGCACTGCTAAGGAGTCCCAAAATAGGATGAAACGGCCGTTCAGTGCTTACAGGTTTTCTATGATAGTCTAGCTTCAATTGACTCATGATCTCAACTATTAAAGTTACTATAATGTTCACAAAAGCCCCTTCTGTACGTATATTTTTATTGGATAACTATTAAGTAACTATATTACATGTATATTTTTAGTGGCCCAGGATCTGGGGCTCCAGGTAGATCGTATGAATGATTGCTATTGAGATATATACATATCACCAATCCATGTATATAATCGTTGACTGAACTCGAAATAGTGTATAATGAGTTTTAGTGAGAAGTTGTGATCATTGGAGCTATTCCGTGTTAGGTAGAGACAGGTATCTACCTCAGTACCATGGGAGACGGTCGCGCGATTTCGTGGATTAGTTGAAGTTAGATATTGACACCGTTCGATACCGGCCAGCTCACTGGTCTAGAGTTTCAGTGTTCGCGCGCGAGACCGAAGGCCCTGGGTTCCAATCCCACGAGTGGGACCCTGAATGCGCACTGCTGAGCCTCACAATGCGACGAAACGTTCATCCACTTCTTCCAGGTTCTTAATAGTGGTCTGACATCAATCGGTTCATGATCTCAATCAAGAAATTAAAAAAGTCAGATACAACGATAGATTTTGAATACGTATGTTTTGTACAATCGTTGATCGGTACAAACAATCAGAGAAACGTAGCGAAGGAAGTGAAGAACGGAGAGAAAAGCGAAACTAAATGTCTCGCAATGAAGAAGATATATGAGTCAACTGGATTTAATCACAAGAGAATTGATATTTATAGTTAGAAGAAAAATAAGTAAGAGTTATGTGATGAGTAAGATAAGAAATGTACTCACATATACGTTCATATAGAAACAATCAAGATTGATAAGTGAATGGTTAACAAGGTCAAAACGTAACTCAAGAAGAATGGAAAAATTGACCCATCTGGAAACTAGAATAAGCCATGCGGGCTTAACATTGTAACCGAAGTTATCTGACCTATTGACTATTCTTATACGATTTATTATTCTTAAGTTATTCCCAATTTATTAATAACAGTCTCCAACACTCATAGCCAAATTTTGGCTTGATCTTGTGTAATAATTACTTTTTTGTTTTATGGTATGATACAATCTGGTTTGTTTGTACATAAACCCACCGTGTCTAAAATGTATGATTCGTATTTCGGAGGCTGATATTAGCGATGTAGTCTGAATTGGCTGGATTAGTAAAGAAGCTACTATCTCGGAGAACAAATAGGAACTCTAAGCTGCTTATACTAATTCATACGTCATTAATCTGGTCGTATAAGTCGGTGACTAGTTAGAGATCATATTGTGTGATATATTAACCTGAGTATAATTACATAACAATAATAAATAATTATTAAAGATGAAAAGAGATGTGATTAAATGTTAACTAACATCATAATTTGTTTAGGAGGTGATTTGAACATATTGAATTAGATCTAAAAAAACTTTTTATTGCTAATACAAATGTCAAAACAGTTCTACTGTATGGAATGAAAACCTGGAGAACTACGAAAGCCATCATCCACAAGATACTGGTATTTAATAACAGTTTTCTACGCAAAATACTTCGGATCCGTTGGCCGGACACCATCAGCAACAACCAACTGTGGGAGAGAACAAACCAGATTCCAGTGGAGGAAGAAATCAGGAAGAAGCACTTGAAGTGGATAGAAAATACATTGAGGAAAGCACCCAACTGCGTCACAAGACAAGCCCTCACATGGAATCCTCAAGGCCAAAGGAGGAGGAGTGGAAGAACAAAGAACACATTACGACAGGGAATGGAGACAGACATGAGAAGAATGAACAACAATTGAATAGAACTAGAAAGGAAGGCTGAGGACAGAAGGGGTTGGAGAATGCTAGTCGGTGGCATATGCTCCATTGGGAGTAACAAGTGTAAGTAAGTAAGTAAGTAATATATTCATCAAGAAGTAAGTGAAATTTATATTTATCCTTTTCAGTATATATGTTAATAGGCAAAGACTGATAGTGACTAGTAATGGAATCCAGGAAGCTCATTTCGTCTTATTTAAGACTTGTCAGTTAGATGTACCTATATCTCAGAGTTGATATTCACACCATGACTCGAACTCAGTACCATTTTGTTCCAAACTCCATTTAGATACTGAATTCAGATAAACGTAATATTGAAGTAATCCGAACAAGATGATTATATTATCAATAAGACAATGATCAAATACAATCTTCAATATCAATGTAAAGTTTCAAATAATCATTACAAAACTATATTCAAACTTTTATTTACTCTCTTTTGTTGAAGATTAGGAAAATATTGATTTGTTAAAGAAGTTTCATCAATAGATTGTTTTATTGAATTTGTATAATTGATTATGATTTCTTTATTATTTCTATGACTATTATGATTGTGATTACGTGTTATTTCATTGACTGATTTATGTGAAATAGCTAAAAACGGATGAATCAGAAAGAAGAAGAAAAAAAAGAATAGTTTGTTAAATTATTTATTTTACTTGAAGAAGTGACATATTTCCGACGGATCCTTATCACCAATCTTTATTGTTCTCATTAAGGCAATGATGAATTTGAGGTTTTCAATACTAAGTATAAATCAGTTATACAACTGCAAACATAATAATAGTGACAGATATAGTAATAGGCATTAGAAATATTTTCATTTAAGACATAATTACTCGAAAACTCAACAACCGGAAGTTTCCTTTACGGATTCATGTATTCGTTGAGTTAAAAAAAAAAACTAGGTCACCATGGAAAACCTGTTTCATCCTAATGTGGGACTCTTCATTAGTAGGAGTGATTCAGTAAAATTGATTTGTGATCATAAATATAACTGAATAGAATAACTTACTGTTGTTACATGATTTTACAATGCCTGTAGTTTCAGGCATGAATAGATACAATTAATAGTCATTTTATTGTGTTGTATCCCGATAGGAATAATGAATGGTGATTTTTGCGATCCAATTATGGACCAATAATTATGAGTATATTTTTATCGTATAATTGTTATGTAACTAAACTATTCATATTCATGCCCCTCTTATTATGAGCTTTATTTTGACCTATGAATTATTATTTTATAACTTGCCATTCTTGAATTATGCCTATTATGTCTATTAATTACTACCTCCCTCATTCACAGCCACATCTGACTAATTCTTGTACAAATGTTGTTTCATATTTTATTGGTACATTGTGGTCGGTTTGATTGGTATATAAACTCAGTATGCTCAAAATATAATGATTCATATCTCAGAGGCTGAGACTTGAGTTCTGGACTCAACTGGCTGGGCTAGATAGGGAAGCAGGACCAGTCAGAACTCTAGGTTGTTCTCACGTGTTTACGCGTCTTTGGTTCGATCGATAATTCGCTGCTATCTAAATCTGCGGTCCACAAGACACAACATATTGAAGCTAGATTTTAGTAGCCCTAGAATATCTGAATCCAATATGATCACATTATGATTGTTATTGAAAGACACATATCGTTAATCATCGTATTTAATCATCGACTTAACTCACGTTAGTGAATAACGAAATTAAGTTTTGAATACATACATTTTGAACAATCCTTGATCAGTATAGATAATCAAGGAGGTGGAGTGAGTGAAGCGAAGAGGATAGAGTAAAGTGAAACGAATTAGAGAAGGCATGTTAGCCAACTTACTTTGATTAAGTGTTATTCAATATTTACAGTCAAATTAAATCAAGTCGCAGCGACTTAAGGCAAAGACTGAGCAAGAAAAAGTGAAGTAAGGTCAGAAGTGACTCAAGAAAGATGAATAAATTCGTCTGTCAGAAAGCTAGAATAAGCTATGCGGGCTTGAAATGGCCAATGACACTACAAGATAGATTAAGTCAACTAACGGAAAATATCAGGAGTAGTTTTTATGCCTGTTGAGAAGTGTCTATGAGTCGAATCACTAATTTTTAGGGAACTGATACTTTCTGTGGGATTTCAACTCAGATTATCTTGCTTCACAGTTTGAGACGCTTTGTCCGAGTTATTCAGGTAGTGAGTGGTCGTTTGTGCGACTAAAATACTCACACTGATGAGTTAGTAGTGACTAACATTATGTTTGTCTAGTTGGTTGGTAGCACTCGATAAACAATAAGAACATTCTCAAACTTGTTAAGGAACTAGAACCATTTAACTATTGCAATAAAATCTTCATCTCTCCAAATGTAAAAGTGTTGAAAATATGCATATTCAGTTTTGTAAAAATCAATTCCTTTTTTAAAGATGTTTCCATAATTTGATAGAAGTAAAGCATAAAACTATATTTAATAGTTGGATTCATAAGTCAATTCAAGCTAGATCATCATAGAAAACCTGGAAGCATTGAACGGCCGTTTCATCCTAGTATGAGACTCTTCAGCAGCGTGCATCCATAATCCCGCCCTCGCGAGACTTGAACCCATCATTCATTACCGATTGACTCTCATCATATTATATACATATCAATGAAAACGTGACAAAATAAAACGTCCTATCAACTTCATTATCAACCTATGATTATTCATTAATTTTGACTACTATTTTTAAGAACATATTTTGTATTCTTTTCTTGTTTCAATATCCAATATCTTTCTAACGAGCCAGTGAAAATCATATGGTTTATTTGAGCTCATTTAGTATTACAGTATGGTTGTTAAAAGTCATGAACTGTTTCAAATATCATTTTTAAGCTTATTGAAGAAAATATGTAAAGTTTTAATTGTAATAATAATTGTGTTTCAAATGATGAGAAGTCTTGGAAGAAAATAATTCCATTCCCTATTGAATGACACAAACCCGTGAAGTCACTGACAAGTAGACTGGGCTATGATAGTAGGTGTGGACTATCTGGTTAGGATCTGTGAGACGATAGCAATCGATGGTTCAAAATCGTCTGCAATGACGTAGATACATCCATTCTTTGTGTTCTCTCAAATACTAATCTTCTGAATCCCTCATGTCCCTATTTGCCCATGCTTTTGCTATTTCTACCACTATGAGATTTGAATCGACAATTTTGTGGTATGGCAACTTGAACTGATGTACGTACGTACGAAGTTCTATGTTGTTGCTGACTGACTGACTGTTTGACTGAATGCTTTAATTGTTTATACTTTGTTCAGAAAGTTTGACTTTTTCTCATAAGTAATGTAAATGATGAATGAAAGAGTTTTGATCACATACATTTCATTGAATTTACTGTTACACCACAGATTTAAAAAATATTGGGTGTAAAATATTTTTTCATATGTTTTGGTGAAACATCCATGAACATATCTAAATTATTTTTGTTTATGTTTTGTGCTACTTATATTTGTTTAAGTAGTAACTCAAATAAAACTAAACTTACGTCCAATTATAGTTTCTTTAATAGTATTAGAGATATTATTTGTTGACTGTACAACATTTGGTGGTAATTCAGTAATAGATGATGAAACTTTTAAAATTTCATTCTTATATTCATTTGGAATAGTTTTATGCATGTTAATTTCAGTTCTACGATTTGATAAATTTTCTTGAATATTTGATGTTGAACAATGTTTTTCATTGTATAAGAAACAATCGCTAGAATTATTAGAATTATTCTTACAATTTTCATATCTGTAATTTGTTCCTTGAAGATAATCATACTCATGATCTATGGGTAAATTTTCTGGTTGAGATGATATATGACGATTTTCATGTAGTTGTGAGTAATTCAAATCAACAATTCTTTGTGAATTTACCTAATTTTAAAAAAAAAATTAGTAAAATACAAAAGAGCAGTTATTAGTCGAGCTAAAGATGAAATGTAAAAGATCACTTGACAGTTAACAGTGTTGAATCCCAGCTGATCCAATGGTCTAGAGGTTACGTGTTCGCGTGCTAAACCGAAGGTTCTGGGTTTGAATCCCATATGTGGGATCATAGATGCACAGTGTTAAGGATACTAGGACAAAACGGCCGTTCACTACTTCCAGGTCTTTAATGGTGGTGTGGCTTGTATGGACGAATGATCTTAGTGAGACAACCACTGATGATAGAACGTACTTGATTGCTATTTCACCCTTGTATGAGACCTCTAAAGAACAGTTACTCACGACTGATTGGAATCAATCAGTATAGTGAAGACTTAGTTCATTTGGTTTTATACTAGTTGCTATCTATTAAGCTTATTCGAAACATCGAAATTTTATCGATTTGAAAAACAACACCAGTGAGATATTGTATGAAAATTATGCTAATTGTAAAATATTAACGTTCAGAGTTCCTTAAATTTTAATTAGATCCATTTCATTGGTAGTAATACTAGAAACAGGATTAAATATATGCAAGAATATGTGATTTATCTAACAAATACAGAAAATATTTTAATCATCTGAATTTGTCTCTCAGGTAACATTAGAACTACGATTAGTGTTTTCTACGCACTCACTGTTTGACATCGAGGCTTAAAGATGAATTACCTAGAATGACCACCTTATTTTGTATTTGTCAATTAAACTACTTTTGTGGAACAAGTCAAATTGGTCAAAACTCTAGAAATTCGCATTTTCGTTCTCGTGAATACCTCCCAGTGTGATTAAGTAAAGATCTGGTGAAACAAGTGAACAACTCAATATTGATCCATTTAATACAAACTGGTCATAGTGTCAGTATAAAATAATCCTTTATTGAGTCAATAATCTTTTTTTTCCAAAGTTTGTCAGATAACTGAAGCAGTAACCATCCAGATGAAGAAACCGGAGCTATACATTCAAAAAAAAATATCTTCAACCACTTTTCTTTACCTGATCAAAAACTTCAAGTCCAATTAATCAATAGCAATCTTAGTTATTTCATTTCAACTAGTCAAGAAGATATGTTACTTAGACTTAGGAAAGAGTTTTATGAAGTTTTATGGTGAATGTAAATAGATATCTTCATCTTTCAATCATTTAACAACTTACATTAATGAAGAGTATTCAAAAGGTTAACGCTTGACTAAAAGAGGAGTTGGTTTACCCGACATCTCTACTGCTTGTCGTTTCGCTTCATTCTATTCCATTCACTTTATATACAAAATATATGTGTTCAAAAATTCATTCTCATAATTTCACTCATTTAATTCCGTTATTGACTAACGTGATTTAAATCGATAATTATGTTGTTACGACCCGAGAAACATAATGAATGGTAACATAATGAATGGATCCTTTTATGGACCAATACTCAACGTATATTTTTATTGCATAATTATTAAGTAACTAAACTATGCATAATCATATTTCTCTTATTATAAGCTTTATTTTGACCCACAAACTATTATTATACGTTTTACCATTCTTGAGTTATACCCAGTATATTAATTACTACCTCCCTCATTCAAAGCCACATCTGGCTAATTCTTGTACAAATGTCGATTCATATTTTATTGGTACGTTAAGGTCTGTTTGATTGATATATAAATCCACTATGCTCGAATTATAATGATTAATATTGCAGAGGCTGAGACTGGTGTTCTGAACTTAACTGGCTGGGCTTGACAGAAAGCAGGACCAATCAGAACTCTAGACTGTTCGCACATGTCTAACGCGTCCTTGGTCCGATCGATAATTAACTGCCCTCTAATCGGCGGTCGCAAATTATAACATATATACGGGGATAGTCGACATATATAAATATTTCAACAATAATCATCATTACGATCTCCTTGGAATCAGATTTCGGGCCACTAAAGTGGAGAGTCCTTTCAACAAACATCGTCTGATCTAAACGACAAACAAAATTATCATTCAACAAACATAAACGCTTACCATAACATTTTCAAATGAATTACTATAATTAGGTAATAATGAATATTGATTTGTTCCATTAGCAGTAAAATAATAATAATAATTTGATGTTTTCATTCGTGAATTTGAACTGGAATTTAAACTGGAACGATTTGAATGTTTTTGTTTATAATGGTTACTATGACTACTACCACTACGATTACTATTGTTGTTATTATTATATTGATTTAATCGACTATATGATTGTTGATTTGTTATTGTAGTTGATTTAATAATATCTGATTTGGATATCAATTGATTTGGATAACATAATGGAGTGATGGTTAAATATCTAAATAAAACAAATTGTGAAATGTAAAAAGGTACTATTACGTAATCATTTGTAATACTTAGAAATACAGTGAAGTTGATTACTATTATTATTACATGATAACTTTACCTAGATCATTATAGAAAACAAAACAAACGAAGCATTGGACAATGGTTTTATTATATCAGTGCTACTAATGATTCGGTGGTGAGACTCTAATTTATGGACGAGCCAATCAGAAACGTTTGAGCAGTTTCAAGGTCACGGAGACAAGTTCAGCACCTGATGCTCACATACGATCGGTTTACAGTGGATTTTAAAGAAGAGGTGATTATTGAGCGGCTACAAGAGATGAGACTACTAAGAAGTTCCTGTACCTATGACTGCGGTTATCAAAGGACTGTAGTACAGTGTGCAGACTATCGTATTGAGATTGTATTTCGTTGTTCTTTATGTTGGAGAAAAACGTCTGCTCGAACGAGGACTTTCTTCTCTCGATCGCGACTGAGACTGAGGTAAATCATGACAATAGCTGCAAATTGGATTATAAAGGAACCAGTGACACCGGCTGCGGCGTTTGCAGATGTTACTGAAACTTCAGCCGTCCGGTGGTATGAATATTGTCGTGATATATGTGCACCTAAAATGACACGTCTACACGAATCAGTCGGAGGGGTCGGAAGTATTGTGGAAATAGATGAAACAGTAGTGCGGAAGCGAAAATACAACAGGGGTGTAGTATCAAGGAAGATTGGGTAAGTAGCACTTCCGTAAATATACTTGACAGGTACTTCGAATTTATGATCGATCAATGCTAAAGGGGCATTTTCAGACGGTCAGAAACCGGCAAGTAAGCACAATAATACCAATTATAGGGGAATACGTGCAGCAGGGCACTGCGGTATATACGGATGATTGGAGAGCGTATAAATGCCTTCATAGACTCGGGTATTTCCATCATTTAGTAGTACTTAAACGTCATTTTGTCGAACCCACTACTGGCGTTCATACTAACAACATTGAAGCCATGTGTTCGACATTGAACGAATTTTTAAGACCGTACCACGGCTCTAGAGGACGACTATTATGGAGCTATATGGACGAGTTCCTATATCGTTTGCATTATGATTTCAGAACATCTGAACCTTTATCAAACCTTAACAAGTTTTTATATCACGTAATTTATTAGTTTCTTATAATAATTTTTTACTTTATACTACCTGTCTTCTGATTGGCTAATAATTGTCAAGGTCATTTAAGATCCGTTGAAGGTTCGTCCATTAATAAGAGTCTCGCCGATTCGGCTTATTCGGAACAGAACGAAGGATAAAGGATTCAGAGACTCCGATAGGCTATTCTGGTCCGTTATCCCCGACTCGGTGAACTCGATCAAGATGTCTTGGTAAGACGTAAAAGTGTATTCTACAGGCAACCAGCAGATACCAGGTCAGGTCAATCAGGCACACAAATCAAGCGTATTTATACAAATATTTATAATCGATATTGTCATGGTAAAAAATTTTAAACATTAAGCAATAAGTTCATCAATGGACTGTCATTCAAATATTTAATCGATAAGATAAAATTACAAAATATGAGTTTTGGGGATCTGTCATCCCCAACAGAGCTGCTCACTAAGTCTCATACAAGGAATAAACACAAAGTTCAGTGATTTTTCTGGTTCCTAATAATTATCTATCTATGCTTATCAACACTTTTATATTAGCTTAGGCTTAAGATGTTTACATACTGCAATTGAATGTGTTAGCAATAAGTTTTGTTATTGTTATTGTCAAAGGAAAGAGTAACCGATGAAGTGATATCAGTCAACGTTACTTTATTATGAAGGTTGAATCCTGGATGGAGTTTTGTAGGATGAGAATAAAGATTTTAATAACGTTAACTATAATTCACATGAGATAAACATACTATTCAACACTTTACTCCCGCTGGATAACAACTTGGTGTTTACTGATATGAGAATCAGAATACAAGTGCATATAATTTAGTCAAACAAATTCCAAATAGGATAACACTTATATTTAATACCTTACTGTCAATAATCATCTATATGTATAATGAACTTACAAAATATTGACAACAGTTTGTCATTTATTCAACAATTTCATAAAGTTCAATTTTCAATAAATATCTTATTATCAGAAAGGGTTTTTAGTGGAGATTGTAGTAATTTCAATAGTTGAAATCATGAATCAATTAAAACTAGACCACTATGGAAAACCTGTGGGCACTGGGACTCCTCAACAGTGCTCATCCATGAGCAGGATTCAAACTCAAGACCTATCAGTCTCGCGCACGAGCGCCTAGCCACTAGACCACTGAGCCGGATGGTATCGAACGGTGTGAATGTTTAACTTCAACTAACCCACGAAAATGAGCGACACATCCACCATAGTCGTCAGTGAGTTACTATCTCACAAGTGACCCGGTTCAAATCCACTGGTCAATGCTTCTCACTAGAAATCCAGGTTATATATCTTGAAGCCAGTCACTAGTGAACATATGTTGATGAGTATCAGAAGGGGATTTTTGTGGAGATTGTAGTAATTTCAGTAGTTGAGATCATGAGTCAATTGAAGCTATACCACCATTGAAAACGTGGAAGCAGTAGGATGGCCGTATCTTCATATTGTGGGAGTCCTCAGAGTTCGCGCGTACGACCGATAGGTCCTGGATTCAAATCTCGTGGGGCAGGATCGTGGATGCACACTGCTGGGAAGCCCCATAATAGGACGAAACAGCCGTCTCAGTTCTCACAGGTTTTTTATGGTAGTTTACCTTCAATTGACTTATGATCTCAACTATCAAAATTAATAGTTTATTTTATCACGTTACTAACCTTTTCGATGGTTGATAATCATTCATTGTCATTTTATTCACTGAATTTGAACGAATCACTGGACTATAATGAACAGTTGATAAGTTTGAATTAGCCTTAGAATTTTGAGATATTGATCGTATTTGATAATGTTGTTTTGATTGAACTGTTTTAGCTTGTGCTGTTATGGTTGCACCCGTCGAAGACGTTATAGTCGATGGTAGTGATAATGATGCTGATCGATGAAATACATCATAATTATCATCATTCACGTTGTCATTATAATCATAATCATTAGTATTACCATTAATCTGATGACTATCGTGTAATTGATTAGCAGTATTATTGAACCCGGTCATATTACAATTCGTATTATTATTAATGCCATTAGCTAGTGACATTGATGTTAATTTTGGTGTTAAAATTGTGACTTTATCATGATGATCATTGATTGAATGATTGTGTGGCTCTTTATGTAATAGATTCACTTGTACGCATACTACATGATTTTTTTTATTAGACTTGATGTTGTTGTTGCTGTTATCGTCGCAATGACCCTGAGGGGTGTTCTTTTGATTCGATTGTTGCTGCTGTTGCTCCTGATGTTGATGATGATGCTGAAGATCTTGTCTCTTAATTATTGTTGTTTGATGAGTTGAAGATGGATGATGATTAGTAGTAGATTGCTTTTTATTATGTGAATATGTTGAGTAAGGAATAGGTTGGGGAATTCCAGTGATGATAGTTTTCCTTTCGGTAGAATCCGTTTTGTTAATACCATTCTGAACCATGATTGTTGTTGTTGTGTTAGTTTTCTTAGAACTGATCATCTACGGTGATGATGTCAGTGATGGAGAGAAAATAAGCACATGAATTTAAAAGCGAAACAAACAAGTAACAGAATCGACTTAAATATTCTAAACATTAGGATAAATTCATTTCGTGAAAAAGATTATATCAAGTGCTATTACAAGCATTATGGTAATTTTCACTTCCAGATTGTTCAAACCTTAAGGGCCACTCAAAAGAAACTGGCTTCCATGTGATCTTAAAGAACTGAAGGAGTGACCATAAAGCACAGGAAACAACTTCCTGACTCAAGTCACATACGATCTTTATGTAAGTAGCTTTAAACGCAATGTCTCTGTAATCTTTAACTGTTACCACCGACAATGGATATGTGTGGGGCAAAATGAGATGTGTTGTTTTAAATTCAACCTCCTCGAACTTCTTAATTACATTGTCGAAAGACAAAATCGTCGGGAATGCTAGTTGTCTTAAGGGCACATCTGATTGTTGTCAAGTTACAGTACAGTCGGCTCCAAAACCTATTCATCAAAGTTTATGTTTTCTGTATTCAGTTTGACTGTCCTACATTCAAACTGCATAGGATGATAGAGCTTACCAAACGGATGTTCCAGCCAATAAATCTTCGTATTTATACCATATCTTATGTTCATTATGACTGAGGGATTTACTAATTTAAATGCATAATTCATAACATTCAGACCTTAAGAATATTCATCTAGAAGAACAAAATCTTCATTGTTATCTGATGTTGAATAAAAAAGGTAACTAAAAACCATTAATACTCGATAACTAACTGTTATGTCTCATGTATGTGTACTTCAGAAAAGTACATTACTCCGACTGGAAAAGTTATAGAATTCCAAATCTTACACTTATATGATGAGTAGAATATTGTTTCACCCCTACCCCTCTCATTAAGCTGTAACCAACTGAACCACGGTTTATATAATTTTAATCAATTCAGAGTCGCAAATGAGAAGATAGAAGACAAATAAGAAGGAATGCTATTTAAAAACAGTGTCAAATATGGCACAAAACTATCAAGTATTTATAGTCTTGTTTTTTGTATAAACCAAATCATCATTATAGTCATCTAATACGCATACAGGGGGGGTAAGTATTTATCTAACAGAGAAGTTATACGTAGAGATTCTGGAATATTCTTCCAAAAGATGATTGGATAGAATATCTTCGGCTTTTTCTCAACTTTTTAGAACTTCCTCAAGTTCACCTGTTAGCCGTCTTCACAGCACTAATGATTAATTTCCTTTAAAATGTTTAATATTCACTATAACAGTATTTACCATAAACGTAAAAACTATCTAAGCTTGTTTGAATATTCATCAATGCTAGATGGTACAGTTTGACAAAAATTGGGCACTGAGAGTATAGTGAATTCATTGTATGTAAAAACTATATATGAAACAATCTCATTGGTTGAAATGTAGGATAATTTCAGTGTTTCGTCCAGTTAACTTGTTTGAACTTCTTCAGGATAATAATCAAAATCAAAATCATCAATCAAAACTGTACTGCGTTAATTCATTCATATTTAGATGTTGACTTTAGTAAATAGGATAACATGAGTTAGTTAAATGTAAATTATGTGAATAGTTCACAATGTGGAAATAAATGAATGAATGAATTGTATATATGTAAGATTGAGTTATTAATATTCACTTGGTGTTGTTTCACTTGTATCTTTTCATTGTTATTCAGGACTGCAATTGATCAGTCTCTTGTTGGCATATGTGCATCCTATGCGAATTGTCTCGATATAGCCTTAAGTCACAAACTCTTTGAATAAAAATGGATAGTGGCTAACAGTGGAATCCAGAAGGCACGTTTCGTCCTATTTGGCACTCGTCAGCCGTATGTACCTGCATCCCAGAGTTCATTTTCACTCTGGGACTCAAACCCAGTACCATTCGCTTCAAGCGTCAACGCGTTATTCACTTAGCTACTGAGTTTTGATGGCCAACTGCTTGTGCAATGAGGAATATTAGGTATCAATATGTGAAAGGCAGAAAAATTCTTTCTGAATCATTGATATACATGTCAAATGAGAATTGTCCATTACACAATTGTATTGCTAAAATAATCCACAACAATATAACGATGTATATGATATAAGTAGGTTGAATGAGGAATGGGTCCAAATATTCGTTAACGAACATTTACCTTCTGGTTGCTAGTTGAATATCATCCTTACGGTTCAGGATGTTCTTATTCGCCCATATATATACAGAGCTTCTGCTGTTAATCTTTCTTTATTAACCTTTCTAAATTATTTTGATCTCTTCAAAAATAATCTTGTACCTTATTTCTAATGCATGTAACGCTATCACAGACATATTCTCAAGTTTCTTTAGATCATCCAACGATTTACGAACATTTTTCAAGTATTATTTGTGTTCGTTCAAACTCACATTCAATTGTCTGGAAGTTTCTCCCAATATAAGCTGAATTACAATCATGACAGTTGATCTCATAGACAACATTCTATTGTTCTTCCTTCGTGAATCTATATTTAACTTTCACTAATGCTGATCTTAAGGCTAGCCCCCCAAACACCCTGGTACGGCCGAGAGTGGGAAGAGTCCGCTCTCCATCTCGAAATGCTCTCACATGGCCACGCGTATATAGCCTCTGCCAGGAAAGTCCTACTCACTGCCTTCTCGTGGCATTACCGTTGTTTACGAAAATGAGAGGACGAAAGGCGAATGTCCGGCGCTTTAACCGGATTCCAAATCAATCATGCAAATGGGCTCCAGTATCCCGCGGGAATAAATTGCGTATGAACCAATCGTTGGTCACCAGCTTCCATGGGACTGCATCACTTTACGATACTCCACTGCCTTGTGGATCAGACGTTTAGGTCGGTTTTAATCAATATGTCGAGACTAAAATTTATGGACGAACCAGTCAGGTATAAAATAATAAGTCTCGGATTTTGGCGCAAAATTCATTCATTTGACTATATAATGTCCTGGCATTTTAGATGATGTGAGTTCGTGATAAAAACCCCCAAATCTAATTCCTAACCCCTAACCATCAACTGTAAATCATAATTCCAATTCTTCACACTGGTTTATAATCATCATTTAGTTCTAGTTAGTAGGTAAACATTCTCATGACCACTTCAGGGTCACTTAGAAGTCATCCATGAATTATAGTCTCACTGTTAATCTTTAAAAGTACATTAATATATAATTGAATATCCCTTACTTGATATAAACGATCACGATATTCAGAAACAGTTAACTGAATATTGTCATCTAACGGTGGAGTGACATGATGATTCATGATCATTATTTCATTTGGGGAGTAAAATCTTTGAAATGATACCGAAAGATAAAGGGAAAGAAAAGAAAGAAAAATCAAGTAAAAATGACATAAATACAACTTAAGATTACACAACATTATAGTGTAGGGCCACTGAAATGTCACTGAGCCATAAACAAACCATCTGATAGTTGTTTCACTGAATACCAAAAGGATCATCGATCCCTGTCAAAGTCAATAACAGCCAACACACATCAGTTAATCGTATGCCATAGACTGGTCCATGAGGTGGTAATCTCACTAACTTGAGTAGGCCTTCAATCATTCGACATAGATCATCTACGTTGGTGATCCACAATAAGGATTATTTGTCAATGTTAGTTATTCATTGACGAAACTTATCTGAAATAGCCTGAGTCGGTGTTGAGTTATAGGTTTTTTTTGGGGTAGTCGAATGAAGCATCCATTATTTCTATAACAATTAGTATTCTGTTTACTTGCCCGCGTGATTTATCCTGGTCAGTCAGCTACAAAGTAGGACCAGGCACATACCTCTATTAGCACTCAAGATCATTGATTTATCCCGACATGCAAACAGATAAGTTATTCTAATCCTTCAAGTCATTCCCACCATTTATGTATGTGAATTTACATACATGTATATGATGGTATGTATGTATTTATTTTACTTACTACTATATAATTTATGCTTAGAAATACTAAATCACCCATTATTCATTGACTATTCATCTTGGCCTCTTCCACTTTCTAACTCTTTTCATCTGTTTGTATTAATGGAAGTATGAAGTATATGCATCTTAAAACATTCTTGTATTTGACTTGGTTTATTCAATTATTCGCTAACGAAATTATGTTTATGAAAATATCCAAGATTAATTAAGAAACTTTATTTCATAAGTTTTCATCCATATCAAATGGGATCGATAATAATTAGTGAAATTCCATTAAAGTCAACTATACATATGATACATTTATGAATGAGATAGTCAGTCAGTCAGTTAGTCAGTAACAACGTAGAACTTCATACGTACGTACATCAGTTTAAGTTGCCACCCCACATTAGCACAGAGATGCAGTGGTCGATTCAAATACCGTAGTAGTAGAGACGGTAAGAGTATAAGCAGTAATCGGAAAGATTAGGGTTTGAAGATGTTATTTAAAGGGTATAATCCAGTGAAATAAATTTGGAAAGAGAAAAAAAGAGACAAGGATGATTCAGGAGATTAGAATTTGGGAGAACACATTTTTTGTTGAACCCAGACTTTCTGATGATTTTCCTGTTCAGTTAGTGGATGAGTACTATACACTAGAGAGCAGTTTTCAGCTAAGTTTGTATTTCTAGCCTCTGAAATCATCAACAACAGTCTGCTATGAAGAAGGTAGTTTAAAGCAGTCTAACATACCATATGAAAAGCTCAAGTATAATAAGAGTTAGGAGTTTAAATTAAATTCCAACTGATAATTAGACAATCATAGAGTACTCACAAGTTGGACGGAAAAATGATTAAAGATACTGAATAAGACAAGTCTATAAATAACCTTTGACCCAACTTAGTAATGGAAAAAATAATAATGATTCTTATTCCATCTAATGTTCCTCCTTACTATCGAGTGGTAGATTAGTAGTCAAAGAGGTTTGAACTCCATTCCAATAAGATTTGGGCTTAATGTCAACATCAAGACACATTCTTCTGACGAATCTCGGATTAGACGAAACACATCATTAGTCAGATTTACTACAATAAAATGGTCAGTTTTCGTTTGTTTTTTTTTAAATTGGATAGAAAGTACCTACCTGCGAACATATGGATGTTTTAAAGCTTCCAATGCTGTGATACGTTTATGTGGATTGAAATGTAACATTTTGTACAAAAGATCAGTTGCTGTCTTATCAACATTTATTAATAATTGATCTAATGAACGGCGATTTCTAATTGAATGAAATAAAGAATAAAAACAATCAAATGTGTATTAAACATAAAAACAAAAGGGAAATTGCAATAATCACAATAATTATAAGCTAACTAGAAACTATTTTAGAAGGTGCCGCAAAATACTCTGGTATGGCCGAGAGTGGGGAGAGTCAGCTCTCCATCTCGAAATGCTCTCACATGACCACGCATATACAGTCAGTGTCATGGAAGTCCTACTCACTGCCTTCTTGTAGCGGGGGTGTTGTTTACGAAAATGAGAGGACGAAAAACGAATGTCTGGCGCACCAACGAGGTTAGCGAATACGGAGGATCCACCTAGAGGAGTTGGAAGATCCTGATTCCAAACCAGTGTTGTACATGGGCTCCAATATCCTAAAGGAATAAATGGCGTATGAACCAATCTTTGGTTAATAGATACCGTGAGAATGTATCTCCTGACTTTGTTCAACTACTTTGTAGTTTACAGCTTTAGGTTGAAGACTCCGGGTGTAGCCACCTAAGAAAACCAACTGCTTCGCTCTGAGCACTCGGGCAGTATCCCAGCCCTCACACATATCGAATGATTTATGTGGTGCATATCTATTTTGTGCCTCCCTGTATCATTGTTTATGTGTTTAAATAAAATAAATAAATAATTTCAGAAGGAACTTCTGGAGTTCAAGTAAGTCATGACCTGTAAAATCTAGTCATGTCCATCATGAGGCAGTTACACACCTATGGAATTGAAAGACATTTAGTCTATATTGCGATTTAATGGAAACTACTATACTTTAAACAAATGGATATTGGCTTAGTGATCTGATGGTTAAGCGATTTTCGTGAAATCTGAAAATCTTGATGAAATAATAGATGAACAGTATGAGATGTTCAAAAGTAGGATAAAACAACTTCCCAATGTTTAGTGATTTCTGCTATGTATCTAACTAAGATCAGTCTATGATGTAATCTGTAAGATAACTTAATCAGTTTTTTGTTGAATTCAACTCTTATTTATTCAATGAATAGACAAGTACGAGAGGCGAGACTCTAATTTATGGACAACATTTGAACGAATCTTAAGCGACCTTGAGAAATATTAGTCAATCAGCAAACAGTCAGTATAGAATAAAGACATATTATACAAAACCAAAGAAATAAAGTAGATACACTTCTTATACATGGTTCAAAAACTTGTCAAGGTTAGAAAGAGGTTCAGAGATTCTAAAGTCGTAATGCATGCAGTAGAGGAAACATCCATACGGCTACAGAATAGTTGGCCCCTGGAGTCATGATAAAGTCTCAAATACTCTTTCAACCTTGACCACATAGCTTCAATATTGTTTATGTGCACTCTGGTTGTTGAGTGCACAAAATGCCACTTGTGGATAACGACACGATGCACATAACCAAGTCTATGTAGGAGTCTGTACGCTTTCCAAACATCCGTGTATATTGTAGTATCTGGATGCTGCCAGTGTTACTGGTACTTTTATTATCCAGTTCGCAATAATTGTCGTAATCTGCAGTAGTTAGGAATTATATATGGGGTTTTCATCACGAACTAACATCAGCTATAATGCCAGACATTTATTTAGCCAAATGGATGAAAGGCTTTCGCGTTAAAATCCGAGATCTATTAACTTATACCTGATCGATTCATCCACAAGTTATAGTCTCGCCGTTTTATTTGTTATAGCCGCTCAATTATCACTTTCTGTACAAAAGTCCCTGTGAACCGATTGTACGTTAACATTAAGCACTGAAGTTGGGGGCGTAATCTTGAAATCCTTCAAACGCCTCTGATTGGCTCATCCATAAATTAGAGTCTCGCCGTAAGAGAATAATCTAACAACCATAATGTTTTCATTTGAGTTTTCCTCAATCTACACATACATATATACATAGATTCATAATAATAGATTGTAAGCCGATAAAGACAGAGCATGTGTGTACATACCATTAAACATTCAAAATACATTTAAAACAAGAAAGTGAATTCCAAACATTTACACTTTGATCAAATCTACAGCTCTTCTATTTGATGAGTATTTTTAATCAATAAATGATCTTATCACTGATCACATATTATTATCAAAAATCAATTGTATAATCAATATTTCAATTACAAACCATTTGATACATATATGTGTGTTATGATATTTGACCAGTTAATTAATATGATATTGACTTAATCGCTACTTATATGATGTTAACATTGTGCCAACAACAATGACATATTGACCATTACGAGTAGTCTAGAGTCCTTATTGATCCTTTTTCAAACCTAGTCTTGCCTGTTAAGTTCACAATACCAATATTAACCTCTGTGATATGAATTATGTATTTCAGACATACTGGGTTAATATTACCAACCAAACAGATCGCATCATAAAATAGGAAATAGCATGATAAATTTAAGGTCAAAAAGAACTAATCAACATCGAGGTGCACAGAACAAGCTGTGAAACACATATGGAGAAATTCCAACACTTCACTTCTATTTGAAGTTTGTACTGATGATGTCGTTCAGAAGAACGATGAAAGCTCCATGACCAAACCATCCAGCTCAGAGAACAAAACTCCACCAAAAGGAAATAGCATTTATACAAGATATTAGCCAAATGTGGCTGTGAATATGGGAGATTGTAATTAGTGTAAACTGGATATAATTTAAATCGTTTAATAATAGTCCATGTGTCAAAATGTAGCTGATAATAACAGGGATATGAATATACACAATCTAGTTACTCAATAGTCATACAACAGGAGTATATAGATAATATTAGTTCATTAATAGTTGTCAGAAGTTATCCATCATTTTAACGTCACTAGGTTAATAAATATGTCAATATCTTCAATTAATAGACAATAAAATCATTAAAATTAAAAGGGGTTTTTGTGAATATAGTAATTTTAATAGTTTAGATCATGAGTCAATTGAAGCTAACCCACCATGGAATAACCTGTAAGCACTGTAATGATCGTTTCTTCGTATTATGGAAGTCCTCAGAGTTTGTACGCGGGACCGACAGATGCTAAGTTCGAATCTCGCAGGGCGGGATAGTGGATGCGAATTGCTAAGTAATCTTACAATAGAACGAAACGACCGTCTTAGTTCTTTCAGATATTCCATGGTGGTTTAGCGTTAATTGACTAATGAACTCAACTATTAAAGAAACTATTAAATTTTATCTTTTCCCTTGAGTAATATCCATATTTAAAATATACACTTGATTACAAAATGTTACTCATTATGTCAAAATATTTGCACAGACTTTGTTTGTGTTATATTCTAGCGAAGATTAAATTATAATTAACTTTTGATACCTCTTAATGGACTGATATTAACTATATATTCTTATGGTATAACTATTCAGTAATAAGATCATATATATCTATATTCCCCTTATTATACGCTTCATTGTAATATATAGATTATTATGATACGGTTTACTGTTGTTAAGTTATACTCAGTTATTTGATTATCGTCTCTCACGTTCACATCCGCTTTTTGGCTTGATCTTGTATGAATGTTACTTCCTATTTTATGGTACAATGCGGTCTGTTTGGTTGGTATATAAACCAAGTATGTTTGAAATAAATGATCTGTTTAGTGGAAGCTGTTATTAGTGTTCTGAACTCAACCGGACGGGTTAGACGAGAAAAGGACTAATAAGGACGCTAGGTTGATCAGACCGGTCGAACGTCATTGGTTTGGTACAGTACAAGAGTGAATAAGTTGTATTTTGACTGACAAACAAATCACATAATAACTAACCGGACTTAAAGTAACAACAGTTTGTATGTACATTGTTTCCAGAGAATGATTTATATTGTAGTGACCTACTTTTATCAAGAGAAAGAGACTGGTTTAAGGGAAACAATTATTATTATAACCAATTGTACCAGTGATTGTTTTACTGTACTTTTTTGTTTAATTGTACAAAAGATATACATTCTTCCGTTGATTGTGACCTTGCACAAGTTCGTCTGCACTCAGTAACCACACTTGTAACCTGGTACGGTCTCGGTATTCTTTCGATACCACGAGATCGCCAACAAATATAACTCGCTACAACCTATGATCGCTTTCTGATATCTGGTACTCAACATTCTTGTAGTGATGATTATAGTCAATCGCGACTCGACGCCACACTAGTATGTCATCATCATCATCATCATCTTCATCATGTTTACTAACTAGAAATTGTGATATGAAACTCAATATAAAGAATTTTATGAATATACCTTATTACATAATTCAACAAATAAGAATTCAACACTTAACCATCATAATATAGAATATAGAATTTATATGAAGATTTTCATGTTTTATTTAGATAGTTAGATAGTCATTGAAAACTTGAAAGCCCTAAGTAACTGTTTTATCATAAAATGAGACTCTTTAACAGTTCACATTGACTAAACTAACCATGATTAAATTCAAGATCTTCAGTGTCACTCTACCTCTCTATTCTATTGAACTGACATCTAATAGTGTATATGTCTACTTTCAATCGATTCACAATATTATGCGACCATCTTCTGGTGTTTATGGTCAATAATTTTTATTTATATAATCTCCTGGATATACATCCAGTAGTTACCAAATTGGTATTATATACTACTTACATCTGTCAATATAAATGCCTATAACAATAGGTTAAAACATAGTCCACTAGGAACTCTTTTGAATAACTGTAATATGAGTAATTATGATAATAATATTCACAATTATCTATGATATACAACAACTCTTTTAACTTTCTGTACATAATGTTACTGTATTTTATTAATTATTTTCTTATTTGAACACATAGATATTGGTACAAGGAGGCACCAAATACATATGCGCCACACAAATCTCATTCAATATATGTGAGGGCTGTGATACTGCCCGGGTGCCCAAACCGTAACAGGTGGTTTTATTTTGGGGGTCACACCCCGAGCCTTCGACCTGAAGGTCTGACCCACAAGGCAGTGAAGTATCGTAAAGAGATGCAGTCTCATGGAAGCCGGTGACCAAAGATTGGTTCATACGCCATTTGTTTCTTCAGGATACTGGAGCTCATGTGCACCATTGGTTTGGAATCCGGTTAAAGCGCCAGACATTCGCTTTTCGTCCTCTCATTTTCGTAAACAACGGTAATGCCACGAGAAGGCAGTGAGTAGGACTTCCCTGGCAGAGGCTATATACTCGTGGCCATGTGAGAGCATTTCGAGATGGAGAGCGGACACTTCGCACTCTCGGCAGTACCAGGGCATTTGGAGGCATATAATGTTACTAATTAATATTGCCAAGAGCAAAATCAAAAGATATTATCTTAAGGCTAATCACCACAGAACATTGATAAGTACCTATTTATTTACATAGATTTCTGCATAGAAAAAGATTTACATGTGACTGACCTCAGTTGATGTAACTATTAAAAGTAGTCAAATGCTAAATAGTTATTTTATCCTAATCTGGAACTCTTCACGAAACCTTTCCAGAGATCAAGCTAAGTATTTGCCAAAAGACCTGAAAGTTCTTAATAGTTCAATAATTAGATTAGAAGCAGACTGTAAAGTTCTAAGGTTAATATATAACTCTATTAGGTGGTTAAAATGTTTAATTAAGTAGTTAAAACAAATCTTAGACAGGAATATTTATTGTACTATTTCTATAAATGAAGAGTAGATGGTTTCGAACTTAAAGCACGACACCAATTATAATCAAAATGTATAATAGAAAAATTCCAAAAGGGAAACCATCATGAAACAGCATATACTAATCGTTCTATAACGAGATAATTTATTGTAATTTTGAATTGTAAACGATTAAGGAATTTTTGTATCACGAATTGAGATATATACGACTGAGCTACAAAATTGAGCAGCTGATACAGAGGGCAAAATGAGATACAGTGGACAACTAGGATGAACCTGGACGACCTAGACTTTTCAGATGATCTGAATTTTCTATCGCACAAGCAGCAACAAATGCAGAAGACACCCAGTGTAGCAGCAGTAAGTATCAACATACACAAAGAGAAAAGCAAGATTCTCTGATACAACACAACACGCGCCAATCGAATCACGCTTAACGGAGATTTGGAAGATGTAAAACCCTTTACATATTTGAGCAGTATCATTGATGAACACGATGGATCGGATACAGATATGAAGGCACGGATTGGCAAAGCAAGAGCAGCATACTTACAATTGAAGAACATTTGTAACTTTAAAACACTGTCAACCAACACCAAGGTCAGGATTTTGAATAAAAATGTCAGGACAGCTCTACTATATGAGTGTCGGAAACCTGGAGAACTACGAAAGCCATCATCCACAAGATACAAGTGTTTATTAACAGTTGTCTACACAAAATACTTTGGATCTGTTGGCCAGTGTCTATCAGCAACAATCTACTGCAGGAAAAGACAAAACAGATCCCAGCGGAGGAAAAAATCAAGAAGAAGCGATAGAAGTCGATAGGACGCACAGTGAGGAAATCACCCAACTGTGTCACAAAGCAAGCCCTCACACGGAGTCCTCAAGACCAAAGGGGGAGGAGTGGAAGACCAAAGAACGCATTACGCTGAGAAATGGAGACAGACATGAGAAGAATGAACAATAATTGGATAGAACTAGAAAGTAAGGCTGAGGACATAGTGTGTTGGAGAATGCTGGTCGGGGGCCTACGCTCCACTGGGAGTAATAGGCGTAAGTATGTAAGTAAGTCAGATACACAACATTTTAATAATCATCTATTTTATGTAATTAAAGAAGCAAGTAAGAAAACCTCAGAAAAACTGTTTTATTACAAGAGGTCGAAATCATTACACTACAATAACTCTATTTATATTACCTATAAGTGAGTATGACTATGGGGTAAATAGCAAACTAAAAGAGAAAAGAATCAATCAGCTTATGGTGAAAATCAGTAGGGTATTATATAATCGAATAAAAGGATGTTACTGACAGCTTTATTACATATCAAAACCATAATTTAATAATAAAAACCAAAAGATAAGCAAATTTGTAATCTTTCTAACATAATTATAAACTTCGAGTTATTATACATGTTAAGTCTGTTCTAAGTTCACTGTCCCTATTCACTTCCTTTCGACTCTTTTGTGTATTTCGTTTTATACTACTTATTAATATTCAGTAAGTAGTTGTATTCTTAGCAATTTTTACGCTTATATTGCAACTCAAGTTTGTCGTGTATTACTACTCTAAAATATTTACATACACTTATAGTATTTATTGTAATTATGATTATAATTACTTTATCTCAATCATTATAGCAGTTATTGACGATTTTGTGCATTTTGGTTTAACCTTTGTTTAAACGCAATAGTTTCTATATTTTTTGACTGAGATCGTGAACCGATTGATGTTAGACCACCATTGAAAACCTGGAAGCACTGGACGGCCGTTTCGTCTTATTGTGGGACTCCTCAGCGGTGCGCATCCACGGTCCCGCTTGGGGGAATCGAACACAGGGACTTCAGTCTCGCGCACGAACGCTTAACGTACTGAACTACCTAGCCGGCATCCAATGGTGTTAATGTCTAACCTCAACCAATCCACGGAGTTGCACGACCATCTTCCATTGTACTGAGGTAGACACTTGTTTCTACCCGACATGGATTGACTTCACTGATCACGGCTTCTCACTAGAACTCCAAGAATTTTCTCGCGAAGCTAGTCACTAGAATCTATATTGTTTTACTCTTGATTCAGTTTTTGTTGGTTGATAAACTGTTACCAAGTTTAGAAACAGCTAACAGCTGTCGTTTTTGCACTATCGGTGCCTTTTCCTTATTTCAGACAAAATGACTCGGTAAACATCATAAATACCTTACAAGTTGAGGTATATAACTAATTTAGGTTATACTATTCAATGACGAATCACTGTTTTAAACAAACCGTTGCTTTATGAACATCGATTTCACGCATATCTAAATGGAGTGATTTGTAAGCTTCGATAAAATTAACATTCATAAATGAATAAATTAATGAGAATAAAATTAGTTGTGAATTACCTGATATGTGCTTTTTGTAAAATCGATGAACTGTATGGACTTTTTACACTGGCTAGATCTAAAGATAAACCAAAATATATAATTTAATGAATGTCATATTTATGATAAAATGTATGTTTTATCTTATTTCAGACTTGTCGATTGGATATTCGAATTGAAGCGCTAACACATTATAAGCAAAGATGAATAGTGGCTAGCAGTGTAATCCAGGACTGGCATTTCGTCCTATTTAAGGCTCGTCAGCTGGATGTATCTGCATCCTAACTAACAATGAGAAGATACAAGTAAAACAACACCCAGTGAATATAAACTACACCTAATTGCAAAAGCAGGTGACTATCAGGACTCAGTAAATATGTGGAGAACGCGGTGATGTGTGAAGTGAATGGTACCGGGTTTGAGTTCCAGAGTGAATATCAACACTGATGCAGGTACATCCAGTTGACCAGTCGCAAATAAAACGAAACGCGCATCCTAGATCCCACTGCTAGCCATATTCCATTTTTGCTCAAAAAGTTTGTGACTTAAGCCTATATCAAGGCGATTCGCATAGGATGCACATATGCCAACAAGAGACTGATCAATTGTAGTCCTGAATAACAATGGGAAGATACAAGTAAAACAACATCAAGTGAATATAAAGCTAGTACATTATCTTTTAAGTTATTGACTCCTAGTAGTGACTGACTTGTCCGATAGGGTGTTATGTTTATTCTTAAAGACTCAGAATGAATATCATCACTGAGATCTAGGTACAATATTCTAATGATTGGTAGTTAACTTTTTGTTAGTCGCTGTTACTTAAATTAGCTTTATCAAGGTAACTCATTCAAGATACAAATACATAGAAAATACTCACTGAAACGTATTGTAATGCTTCTGGATTTATTTTATTAAAACTTTTTAATAAAATTAACTTTCAAGTTATTTGAAACTATTTGATAAGTCTTGCTAAGTGAATGCCAGATACGGTTCCTAAGCTCTTCTAGTAACCCCCAGGAATAATCTACACAGCGACTTGAATGTGAAAGAGAAAGTGCGAAATATGGAAGAAAACGCTTTGCTGTAAATGTTCGTTTATGTACAGTAAAATTTAGCGGTTTTATAGTATTTTTGATGTTCTTGGTTTTCCGGAGAATTCTGGAATGCTACTGAACAGTATAAATAGTCATCTTACTAGAAACTCGACATGTGACTTTTCACTTTCTATGTATTTCTGGCAAAACTTCTAGTGAACGCTGATTAGATAAAATGCTTCTTAGTGTTTCCAGAGCTTTTCTTGGCTTTTTTTCCAAGAGCTTTCTGGATCTCTTCAACATTATTACATGATCCTTCAACATAAAAACCTTCAATCAAAATAAGCAAAAAAAATTAAAAGCTAATTTGTTTAAATTACTTACCTTCTGGACTAGGTTTAGGTAATCCAGCCATAATACGTTCTATTTGATCTAATGTTGATGTACCAGGAAATAATGGTGTACCAATTAACATTTCACCTAATATACAACCTAAACTCCATATATCAACACCTTTTGTATAATCATGACATGCTAATAAAATTTCTGGTGCACGATACCAACGTGTTGCTACATATTCAGTTAATGCAGGTAATAATGTTTTACAATTGATTTTACCATTATTATATTCATATTTCATATTACGACCTTTTAATGAACGTGCTAAACCAAAATCACATAATTTTACTGAACAATCAGAATCCAATAAAACATTTGATGGCTGAAAATTTGTTTATAACAAAAATACATAAATTAATAACATACAACACTACTATTACTACGATAGTGAACGAGAACGTAAATGAGGGAAATCGATATTAATAATGTTGGATGCCGGATCAGTGGTCTAGAGTCTAAGCGTTAGAGTTCGAATCTTGACAGGCGAGATCGTGGATGCACACTGCTGAGGGGTCGCACAATGGGACAAATTGGCCGTCTCATTGCTTCTAGGTTTTTCATGGTGGTCTAGCTTCAATTGACTCATGATCCCAACTACTGAAATTACTATGATATCCACAAAACCCCTTCTGATAAAATCGAATTACAGAACATTTTAGTAAAACCTAAGAATCATACAGTAAATACTTCATTTTTAAAATGTTAATCAATTGTTTCAGACTTCATTGTTCTTTCATTTACACACCAATCAGTCTCTGTTTTCGTTCTCTTTTCTTTGATCTTTATCTTCTGATGCCAGGTATTTTACTTTCGATTGATGATATATACTACTCATATATGTCGATATCAGTAGCACACATCATACCATCAATCCATTAGATCAGTTTATCGTGAAATAATTACATTAATTTATTTACATAGATAAACTTAGTTGAAAGTATCGTCAAAGACATGAAGATGTAAGATCCAAACTGTAGATAAGGCTATACAATGGCTTATTAATGTTTAATAATTATTCAGTTTATCTGCTTTTAATCAAGTTCATGGAATTTTTAAAGAACTTTTCAACAATGTCATATCCGGAGGATTCATAGAAATACTAATATTTGTTAGTTTAGGTTAATATAATGAATGCATCAATGTTAGACTACGAATGAAAATTTTGAAGCACTGGATGTCCATTTCGTTCAAGTATGGGAATACTATGCAGTGCGCACCTACGATCCCACACACTGAACTCCAACACAGAACCATATGTCTCACGCGCAAGCGCTTAACCTCTAGACGACTGAGACGGCTTACGTACTTACGCCTGTTACTCCTCGTCGAGCAGCATAACCTGCTATCCAGCATTCTCCATCCAACCCTGTCCTGGGCAATCCTTTCCAGATCTCCAGTTGTTATTCATTCTTTTCATATCTGCTTCCATTTACCGACGTAATGTGTTCTTTGATCTTCCTCTACTCCTCTTCCCTTCAAGATTCCACGTTAGCACTTTTCTTGTGATGCAGTTTGATGATTTCCGTAATGTATGTCCTATCCATTTCCATCGTCTTTTCCTAATTTCCTTTTCAGATGTAAGCTGGTCTGTTCTCTCCAACAGTAGTCTGTCGTTGATGGTATCTGGTCAATGGATGTTGAGTACCTTGAGTAGACAACTAGTTATAGATACTTGTACCTTCTTGATGATGGTTGTAGTAGTCTTCCAAGTTTTAGCTGCATACAGTAGAACTGTCTTGACGTTCGTATTGAAAATTGTGACTTTGATAATGGTTGGCAGACAATTGTTTTGAGTTCCATGTGTTCTACAATTGTAGGAATGCTATTCCAATCCTCCCCTTTACTTCTGTATTAGATCCTCCTTGTTCATCGATGATGCTTCCCAGGTACGTGAAGGATTCCACATCTTCCAGAGTTTCGTCAACACAGTGAGCCAGTATGGCTTCATTTTTAAACTTTTAAAACACCTTCATCATCATTATGTCTGAGTTGATCACGTTTAGTAAGTTCACAATTTATTCCTTTAACCATTGTTCTATTTCAAATGAGTTGTTGAACTCAAAAGTCAAGTTAGTTTTTTATAAATTACAAACACTTGAAAGTTCACAATAAATTACTGGCATTTATTCAATGGATAAAGAATCAATTTTTTAACCAATCAGTAAATGGTTCAGACTTAATGAGATACTCTTCCGTTTACTGAACTATACGGTATGATTTAGCTTTCATTGACAGTATACTTTGACTCAAAATCAACTACATGATATAGTTCTATGTAAATGAATAATATATAGATATGAAGTAAATTCAATCACCTCCAAGTTTAGTGGATCCTCTTTTTTTATTAATTTCAAACTCAAAATCTGCAATTAATATCTATTGCTGACTATCACCTGTATAACTTTAGATACTCAGATACTTCTAAAAACCATGTGAAATTCTTATATTTTATCGAACCACATACGATATGAAGCAGAATACTTGAATTTACCGTTACCAAAAACTATGGATTATGAATTCCTACGGATACTGAAGTTAAAAACATCAACATACCATCAACAAAAAGCTTTTTTTTAGTTAACTCAAGTTATGTTCAAATATTTCACTCAATAGCATGCATCATCAGTAACAAAATCAAATTATTATTTTAAACTACTTATGAGTAGTTAAATTAATTAAACAAAATATACTCACCTTTTGGTCTCGATGTATTACTTCACCTGAATGTAAATAAGCTGTTGCTTTCAATAATTGATACATGATATATTGTTTATGCACATCATTTAATATATTGCCCTTTTTAATTACATTATGCAAATCTGTTTCTTTAATAAAGATATATATGTATATATGGAATAATAAAAATAATATCTTACCCATAAATTCAAATACTAAGTAGATATCTTTATCACTACTTGCCCGTATTACATTATATAACCGTACAATATTTGGATGATTACCAAAATTTTGAAGAAATGCAATCTCTCTAAATGTTCTCTATGAATAAAGAAGATGAAAGGAGATAAAATGGGATAGGGGGGATAAAGGAAATACACTTCAGTTAACAATGTACTGTATTTTTCTAGCCTACCTGTGCATCAGTTTGATTACGAAATGCATCGAAGATTTTTTTCAATGCAATAATTTCTTTTGTTTTTTTATTCAATGCTTTCCAAACTATTCCATAAGCCTGAAATATGAAAGAAAAAATCAAATGATTAAATGTAATAGTTATATTGTTTTAGAATATTTTGTTTCCAAGGAATGATTACAAGCATGGTGGATTAATGATGGGATTGATTCATGAAGTGTTTATTCATATATTTGATCTTAAAATATACTTGCCACTTGACACTATCCCACTATTAAATCAAGCAAGTACAAGTTGAATGGGATTTGAATTTTAGACATTGTAGCCGAAAATTGGACGCTCTAACTACTAAGCTATTGCATTAGAAATTAATATAACTAATAACCAGTTATGTGTAATCACTAAGGTACCTTCAACCTTCAGCTTAAAAAAACAATGACAAATTAGGTAAATAAGATTGATAATAATCATTTTTATGATATTTTATTGCAATGTAACTATTACTGAATAACTGAAAGTAGTATCCGGAAATTCATGGATTTGATTTGTTAATTAGTTACTACTAATTAAAAAGCTTATTTGTAGCGCATTAAAACGAACTCATTCTTTATATAACTATGTTAACTAGTCCTAGATTTATATAACTATCCACTAAATCAAATCTACCTCTCTTGATATTGTTTACTTGAATCATACCATTGAGATTTAAGACTGCAATTGATCAGTCTCACATTGGCATATGTTCATACTGTGTGTATTGCCTCGATATTGCTTTAAGTCACAAGCATTATAAGCAAAGATGGATAGTGGTTAGTTGTAGAATCCAGGATGCGCATTTCGTTTTATTTGTGACTAGTCAACTGGATGTACCTGCATCTCAGAGTTCATATTCACTCCAGGACTCGAACTCAGTACCATTCTCTTCAAACACCATCGCGTTATCCACTCAGCTACTAAGTCCTGATAGTTACTTGCTTGTGTGATGAAGTAAATTTAAATTCATAGTGAAACATCAACTCTGAAATGTAAGTACATTTACTTGATGAGTCCCAAAATAGAACGAAACACGAATCCTGGATTCCACTACTAGCCACTTTCCATCTTTGCTTATAAAGATTTTGAATTTTTGACAGTATTGAGGCATATCTACTTCTTATTAGATATTGTATCTAATTAATTAATATTAGCTACATAGTAATAGATAACTTATTTTATCAATGATATTGTAAATTTGATTTATGATTCTCTTTTTATTGTTGACACTAATAGAATAATTATTCTCTATTAATTCATTGATGTACTTAAACACAGTTTCTGATAAATGGGTTCTATTTCTATATAGACAATAGATATTATTGTTATTATAGATAGGCGAAACTCTAATATTCATATCCATAGTATGATTATATTTGTTTCATATTTATAACTTTAACAGACTATTCTCATCTTACTTTAAATGTTATTTTAGCCATGAGTCTATGGATTATATGTGAGATATAATCCACTGTTAATAGGGTCTTAGATAAACACAGTCTGTCAGTCAGTCAATCAGTAACAACGTGGAACTTTGTACGTACGTACATACATCAGTTGGAGTTGCCAAACCACATTAGCATAGAGATGCAGTTGTCCATTCAAATCACGTAGTGGTAGAGGTAGTAAAAGTATAAGCAGTGATCGGAAAGATTAGGGTTTGAAGATGTTATTCAAGGAATATAATACAGTGAAATAAATTTGGAAAGCAAAAAAATAAAAAGACACGACGATTTCAGAAGATTAGAATTTGAGAGAACACAAAGAGTGGATGAACGTGCACCATTGCAGACGATTTTGAGCCATGTTATTCAGGGTCTCTAACCATCGGTTGCTATCATCTCGCGGATTCCCAACCAAGTAGTCTACACCTACTAACATGGCTCAGTTCACTTGTCAGTAACTTATTGTATTTGTGCCATATTTTGATCTGGCCGCCCCTAGCTTTCAATCAACCTACTCCTATACCAGTGAACATTGCACGTCTGGGCAGTCGGTAGTTGGGCATACGTAACACGTATCCCAGCCATCCAAACTGATGAAGTTTCACTAATTCATCACTGTAAAAGAGTTCCGTTCTAAGATGGAACAGGTATCCATTGATAGCAGAATTGTGAAATTAGTAAAAGTATTACTATAGTAGTTAAGGTTAGACATACATAATCTGATTTGAGAAAGGATAATAAAATTGTGAAATAAAATAATATAGATCCATTTAGAAACTCAAGATCTAAACGAAAACAAAGAATGAGTATATCTGCTTGTTTTTTTTTCATCGATTCTGAAGAATATCAATCAATATTTCCAACTATTGTTCATGGTAATTGTATGAACCACAAACATGTAATCAAACCTGAACGTGGCTCAATCCAAAAGTAAATGAATCTATTAACAAATGTAATATTGTGGTGTGTGCTACTGATATCGACAGATATAAGTAGTATGTATTATCCATAGAAAATGAATTGTCTGGTGGCAGAAGATTAAGAAGATCGAAGAAAAGAGAACTAGAATAGTGAATGATTGGTGTAAAAACGAAGGAACAATGAAGTCTGAGATAATTAATTGACATTTTACAAATGAAGTATTTATGGTATGTGTTGTTACTTTATGACCCGCTTTTTATCACGTAATTTATTCGTCAGTTGAAATACAACTTATTCACTCTTGTACTTTACTAAACCAATGACGTTTGACAAATCTGATCAACCAAGCGTCCTTATTGGTCCTTTGCTCGTCTAACCCGTCCGGTTGAGTTCAGAACACTAATAACATCTTCCAATATACGAATCATTTATTTCAAACATACTTGGTTTATATATCAGCTAGACAGACTGCATCGTACCATGAAATAGGAAGTAACATTCATACAAGATGAAGCCAAAAAGCGGATGTGAACGTGGGAGACGATAATCAAATAACTGAGTATAACTTAACAACAGTAAACCGTATCATAATAATATATATGTCACAATGAAGCGTATAATAAGGGGAATATAGATATATATAATCTAATTACTGAATAGTTATACCATAAGAATATATAGACAATATTAATCCATTAACAGATCCCGAGAGTTATTCAGAATTTAATCTTCACTTGAATATAACAGTATGATTCTCAAATTTTACTTGATGATTCTATAATTTTATATTGAAATACATTTGACTATTCTCATTAGTATTCTCATTCACTACAGTTTCACTTAAACACTTAATCTATTTAAGAATGATCTAATGCTTCAATCAATTGTCTTCGTAATAACAAAATCATATTCGTTTCATAGATTTCCAACGAGTTGTTTTGAAACTTCTTTGGATACTTCAATAAAGCATAACATCAATTTCAAGATAGAAATATAATGCAACCATTGTGAATCATTGTGAAGAAAGTAATCTCACAAACTGTGTTTTATATACAAAACTTTGATTTTATAATACATATCACCAATAATACAAAGGAGGTATATGATTTGATAATGAATAAAACTAAATAGATCTAGAATGATCTATTCTACAGTTTGTAGTTAGTCATTATCATACAGTATAGAACTGAAGTATTGAATATCATTTATAAGATTGAATTTAATCTAGCTCTACATGCTCAATACATAATTATCAGTGATAGGCAAGATATAAAGTTAGATTTATTTATACAAAAACAGTTTATGAGATCTTTTTCATTTTAATGGTTTTGATTTCCTGTATAATTCTGTGAACAATAGAGCTAATCTGTGTCGGGTAGAGACAGGTATCATCAACCTCAATACAATGGAAGATTTCGTGGACTGGTTGAGGTTAGACATTAACGCTGTTGGATGCCGTCCATCAGTCAGTCAGCTACAACGTAGGACCAGGCACACACATGCATCGGTCCTAGTTGTCATACCTCATTAGCACAACAAGATAAACACCGGATTCATAGAAGTAGTTAATTCATTGGTGGTAATATATAAAAGAAAGATTGCGTATAAGGATATAATACAGAAAAAAATAAATATGAAGCGATTTCAATCTCGTCGTTTAAGGGAAGACAAAAATTGTATACAGCTACACGACTGTGATCGATTGTGAGCCATGTCAATCAGAATCTCTAACCATTGGTTACGATAGTCACGTGGACCCTAAGCAGATAGTCTGCATCTACCAACATGGCTAAGACTAGAAGTTAGTGACTTCAAGGACTGATGCCACATTTTGGTTTGGTGTCTGATCAGCTCAAATGAGTTGATGTTTGACGAAATCTCAGCACGGATTCAAAAAGCTCGTTTGGTTCTTTCCAACTCACATCATGGCGAAGGCAAGATATCCGTCTATCAAATAAAAGACGAGTATACTGCGCTACGGTTAGTTCTGTTCTACTTTACGGCTGCGAAGCGTAGCCGTTAAGAATAATAGATAATCGTAAGTTACTAGTATTTAACTACAGGTGCCTTAGAAATATTGTTCACATCTTCTGGGGATCATCGAGTAAGTAATAGCGAGATTAGACGTAGGGTATCATATTTTTTTCGTTAGTAACCATGGTAGATATTATATTTTAGAGTTACTGTACTATAATTAATTTTACACTATTCGACATTAAAATAATCAAAACTTTTCATAAGGTAATCAATAATGATAATGATTGTGTGTATTAATTGAATATGGTTACACATTTATAGATCTTCTGTTATTATCACATGTTTAATTAGATTAAATAAATACACACTACTGTAATGAGTAATTGCTTTGGTGATGATGATGATGATGATGATGGTGGTGGTGGTGGTGATTGTTTTCCGAAGAAAACATTTATTTAAGACATAATATATTACAATGAATGATCCTAATCATTGTCCAATCAATATACAATGTAAACATGTTAATTCTCTTTTAGAAGTTAGGTTGTTCAATAAATCTTCACTTTGAATGATTTTCACAAAGCCTTCATCAAAACTATTAATCCATTTCAGAAATGTTATTTCTTTCATCAATAGATTAAAGTATTTCAATGAATTGTCGAAAAGTTGTTTCCGAATTTGTCACAAAAAAATACGGAGAATACAGAATTATTTGATTGAGAT